TGCGGGACACGGCGGGTAGTCCCGAGCGGGCAAGATAGCTCCATCTTCCCCGCTCGGGTAGCCAATCACACCGCAGGATGTGATTCATCTTGCCCGCTCGCGGAGCTAGCCATATAATAAAGGTTTTTAATCATTTTTAGTGCCAGCGGTTTTCCAGTTATAAATTTCAACCTGCAACCTGCGCCCTGCAAAATATACCTGCCGATATAGCATACTGGCATGAAGTATATATATTAACAATGGTCCCCATAAGGCTCGGTTATTTGTCCGTGGACATTATCTGTTCGGAGAAGCGAACTGTGAGCTTTGAGCTGTGAGGTCTTCTCCTCGACGATTTTCAAAATGGCGGCTCTCCCACCTGCCATTTTGAATAGTGGAGAAGGCCCTAGAGACGACGTTGACTATTCTCGTACCCAGAGGCGACCCAGAGGCCCAGAGGTATCCCTTATTATAGAATAAGGGATACATGAAGTACTTACCCAGAGACCGCGCTCGCGCGGTTCTTGGTGGTGACCAAAAGGAGCGCGGCCTCTGAGGACTGTTTCCGGTATTTTGACAGAACGATTATTAAATTATTTCTACTTTTCTCGATGGCTACTTAAGACTCAGAGATCGTTTGTTGTTCACCTTTACCCAACTTTATATCGGGTCTCCGACGATGGATTTGCCGAAGGAATACATGGAACCTATCCTTGATGCAATTATGCCCACGCGTCACGTAAAGTTGATTCACAAAACAGCAATAGAGAGCAGGCGGCAGCACATGGAAGACTTACCTTCTGCTAGTATGAATACGATGCATCTATTGTTCAGTGGCAGTAGCGAAGAGGGATTGTATCTACCAGATCTTTCCTTGGTGAGAAAACCACTGCACAGCTCCGATTCATCGATGGTTTCTGCCGATCAAGATATAATGATTGTTTGGGAAAATTGGCCGGTAAATGAGAAACTTGGGAGAAAAACCTTCGCTGTTTTGGAAGTGAAAGGCACTCATTCCGGCTACTGTCGGCTTCGCTTCAATCCAGCGTTTTCTGCGAGTTCGAGAACTGAACGGCAACCAGAACTTAGAATAACTATAGAAGATGGCGGGCTGGATAAGAATGCCTTCATATACAATTCGAAGTTTGTCGCGACCATGTCAAAGATACTAAAGCTACAAAAGCGGGGAATATCATTTTTCGAAGTTATTGACCACCTAGGGTACAATCTTCAGACAAATCACGCGTTGCATGGGCCAGCTTTCACCAGCAGTGTGGTGTGCTCTGGCGGCAACGACCTTAGTGTGGACTACGTTCACTCACTCCACTGTCAGGAGTGGCCAGAGGTTGCCTCGGGATGGATACATCGACACAGGCCATCAGGGTGCCCCAGTCCGCAGCTGATACGGGACATTGCAAAACAGGGTTGTCATGTTGTACCTGTTTCACATCGGTTTAGCCAGTGGCCCAGCTTGGAATGGCGTTTATCTTTCTCAGAAGCGGAAGTGATGTTAGCGTTGACCTTGTCATCAATCCCTCGAAGATGCTACATCTTTCTAAAGCTGCTGCACATCTACAAATTTAAAAGGCATGGTGTGGCCTTGGTGACGTACTTTTTGAAAACCGCCCTTTTCTGGATATGTGAGAGCATCAGTTTGTCGGAGTGGAAATAGATGAAAACAGTTGAAGGCATTCAAAGACTTTTACAGTTCCTTCTTCACAGCTGCGAGGAACGCACGTTACCAAATTACTTCGTACCTCAGAACAACTTGTTTAGTGGGTTAGGCCTTGTGCAGATGTCAAAGACAAAGGAAGCAATCAGAGAAGTGCTAGCAAACCCAGTTCAAAATCTCGTAGACCTTACAAAGTTTTACAAGGCTTCCCATATGCCTGTAGAGCCGCTGATTAGTGAGATTGTTGGCTGCTGTTTGTCTCGTTTTCCCAGGCCAGTGAGTAACAGTGAGCTGAGTAGATTCCAGAGTTGTCTTCGTGGTCACATCGTCAATGGATTACTCACACAGGGAGATTCAACGTACGAAGCACTCGCGGTTGTCACTTCTTGTGACGACATCGAAAAACTCCCTTCTGCCACTGACTGCCAGGCTGCTTTTGAAAGTTTTGTTGAAATTGAATCAGATCTCGGTGGTATTGACCTGAAGCTGCAGATGGCGGTGATTGCATCAATAAACCATAATTGTGGCTGCCTGGCGTTGCTGGAAAATGACCAGGAAGCTCACAGTGGTTTTTGCCAGAATTCCAAGAACTTGTTTGAGACGATACTGAAACCTTCGGATCCAATTGACACCCATCAAATCTAGATGTTTGTAGACGACTGCAATCTCTTGAGGTCTCTCAAAGAGTACGACAAAGCTTTGCGAGTTGTTTATGCAGTCATGAAGGCACAGTCAAATAAGAGGTACCCCAATGTTTGTAACACTTATGCCAACCATAAAAGCAACGCAGGAGGTGACTATTTCTCATGGGAAGTTGAGCATCTCGGATCCGTCGACGTACTTTCATTTGGAAACTTGTTTTATGTGGCTGCACTGTGTCATGTTGACCGAGGACGAGAGCTTCGGGGAAACCGTCACACTGGCCATAAAGGTGCCTGGATCTTTGCCGGTTTGTTGGAAGAATTTGTTCGTAATAAATGCAACCGATTTCCAGCAATAGGAGACGAGGCAAACATCGTCATGCTTGGATTCTTGATGATGGAAATGGAAGAACATCAGAAAGCAATCGAAATGTTCAACTGGGCGTTAGAGATCAGCCCTTCCTCCCTTCATGCGGAGGTCTACCGCGATTTGGCCGCAGACGAGATTAACAAAAATCTCAACAACAAAAAAACTTAAATGTTCATCTGAAGTCACATGTGATCTGCAGTATTAGCGTGTTTTCCTTCCTTATTGTTTTCGGTTTCGTCGCGCAACATGTGGGGAGAAGTGTTGCATGTTGAATGAAGCGACGACAGGTTTTGATTGCTCGCAGTCTCGCGTTTGGCTGAACGCGTGTTTCCGTCGTGTTTATGTTCGCAACGGAGTGTAAGCATTAAAGGAGACAATATGGACGAGAAAGGATTGGGGCGGGACGATAAATCGAACTCAGTTCTGTGAGCCCATAGACGGAGTAGAGCGACTGGTCCGAACATTGGTCCAAAACTTGTATCCCAATTTACAAGAACTCAAAAATTTAAGCCAAGAACCAAAAGAATAAACGCAAACAGGACGATTTGAAAGCCTACAGTTCAGAAAAGTGCTGAGGTGACAATGTGTAGGGGTGTAGTGTGTTGTCGAAGACGTTTATTCTGCTCGTTCATACACACCGCGTGGATGTGTGTGCTTTCTGGATTTGCTTAATGTGCTAGCCTACTTAAATATGCGTACACAAAATATAACATACAATAGGTGCTAATTAGCACGTGTCAATATCTTACATCCCCTTCTCTTAAAAACTATGTTAGTTGGAATGAAAACAAGCAAAAACAAAATATTCATTCGGGCCAACGTCTCAAGTACAAGTATCTTGTATATATGTTGACAATGAATAAAATTAGAATATATAGGGATTTGCTGTCTAGTGTTCATGTATCATACTAATAATAACTACTAAAGCAAGCGTCAGAGATTAAGTCTTTCCGGTGACCGGATATCACGTCCCGCGCGAGATTTTCTTGGTCCCTTCTCGGCTTCTGGTAAGGTGGGACATTGCGATTTGGCGCTTGAGGGCCCGCCGTATAATCAAATTGCCACTCAATGGGTTGTTTGCTGAACTGCCTGCTGCGGTGGATTCTCGTGGATTGGCGCTTGAAGATTGTGCGGACATACTTCCTTGAGGAGTGCAACTCGACAAGTTGTTTGCTAAGGTGTTGGAAACATTATTTGGTCTAAGATGCAGGGTTTTCCCTACAATTTTTCCTTTGAGAGTCTCTTGGACTCCTTCAACCTAAGGTTGAGGGTCCAGAAGAAAAACATGGGGGTCCCACGGTTAGAGTTTTAAATTCCAGGAGAACAATCTAATCTTTTGGCCTTCCCCTTTTAGTAAAGTTTCTTCCCGAGGCAATAACAGACTGGTACATGCATGTAGTGGTTTGGGAAATACATTACTGTACTGTATTCCCTAATTTCTTTTCAATGGAGACGTCACATGTTTCATCAAGCATCAGTCCAATAACAGGTGTGCGAGAATCATTTAGTTTTTTTTATCAAGTTATCTTCAACACATTTGGCCAAAACAGATTCCATCTCTGAAACAATGTCGGGTTTCTTGTAAAAAACAGAAGCATCACTACATCCAATAGCAGCCTTAAGTTCCATTATTGGAATAAAGTTATCAGCAGCAATGTTGTTCTTCATTGTAACATATACCGTTCTAAGCTGGACAACGTGTCTTCTCGTGATTTCCTGTGTTTCATACTCAATGTTCTTCTTTGCATTTGCAACTGCCACTTGAAAGCTTTTTCAGAGCTTGAGGTCACTGATACTCGTAATGTGATCTTTCGAATTTTGGTGCCTTTTCCAGGGCCGACTTCTAATAATTGTTACAGCCAGTTGTTGTGAAAGGGTTTTTCTTACCKGTCATCTTACAGATATCACAATACATTTTTTCGTTTTCTTCTTTCAACCACGTGAATTCTTCCATCCAAGCTGGAAAGAAACGCCTCTTTTTTTTCGCGGGCTGTAATTCCGAATCCGCTATCTTGCATTGTGTGCCACAATGCCTCACAATCGCGCATTAGTTCTCGAGCCTCTGCGAGGAGTTCACAGCAAGAGCAAGCTTGAGAACGAGAAAAACAAAAGGTGGCGCTGTAATAGTCGATTCAAAGGAGTGAATGTGCCAGATTTGGGAGTTGAAAGATGGACTATGAAAACAGAACAAAGAATCCAAATTCTAATTTTATTCTCAAGAGAATTTTTCGCAGATCTATTCAGGTTTAAATTAAGTCAGTAGTAAACTACTATCCTGAACCATGTGCGTCCGAGAGGACCCGTCCTCCTTGCCGTTTTGCGTCCCTTTTCCATTTCTCAGCCAAACAGTGCCTCTCGGACGCGCATTTGCGCGTAAGGGAAAACCCTGAAGATGGATTCTGTTTCTTCGTAGTTGAGCACCAGTTCCAGTTTCTATAATATACGAGCCGGATATCTCTCCCTGATCTATGACTCTAGCAGGATTCCATGTCTTTCTCACGGGGTCTTGTGCATAGATGGCTTGGTCCCTGCGTAGTTCAGAGGGTTCCTTGGTGTGTCTGTTGTAATAGTAGCATTGGTTGTCTTGTCTCGCTTTGAGCCAATTTCTAACTTCTTCTGAGTTCTTTGATGGCTGGATATTACTAGGAAGTGTGGATTTGAATACTCGGCCATTCAGTAATTCAGCCACTGATGGTATATTGGAACTCAGGGGCGTTGTTCGTAGAGCTAACAGGGCTAGATCTATGTCTTCTTTAGTTTCTCTGCATTTTGGGATCGTCTTCTTAACCGTTTGGACTTGGCGTTCAACGAACCCATGGCCACGTGGGTAATGTGAAGATGACGTCACAATTTCAAAACCATGTTGGCTTGCCAGTTGTTGGAACTCGCCGGATGTAAACTGAGTACCGTTGTCGCATTGAAGAGATTCTGGGATTTCATTTTCTGCGAACAGCATTTCCATCTCATTAACAATGGTTCCGGTTGTGAGGTTGTGAAGCTTCTTGACAAATGGGAACTTGGAGAAGTAGTCGACAACTATGAGGAACCACTACTGTTGGACGTGGAACAGGTCTGCGCTCAATGTTTGCCACGGTCTTGAAGGGATCTCTGATGGCATCATAGGCTTTTGTTGGGAATTGTGGTATTTCTGGCAAACGCAACATGAGTTTACGAGGTTTTCTATTTCTTTGTATACGCTTGGCCAATAAACACAGGATTTGGCTCGTAGCTTGCATTTTTCTATACCAAAGTGCCCTTCGTGGGTTTGCTGCAAGATGTTGCCTCTCAGGGATTCAGGTACTATAACACGGCTTCCAAGAAGTATCAGCCCATCTTCTACTGATATGTCATCTCTTAGGGGTCAGTACGGTTTTAGCGCCGGAACAATTTTCTTCCCGCTATCGGGCCAACCTTGTATAACCTGGAAGATATTTAATAACGCAGTCGTAGGGTTGTAGACGCAACAGCATTCTTTGAAGGCGTGGAGGTGCTTGCATCAGGTTCTTTTTATGGATCTGTTCAAGGGGCGATGGTCCGTTTTAACCACAAACGATCTTCCATAGAGGTACGAATGGAATTTTTCGCAGCCATAGACCACTGCTAATAGTTCCCGTTCGATATTAGCATATCTGGTCTCCGCATGGGTAAGTGCTTTCGATGCAAAGGCTATTGGTTTGTTGTTTTGGAAAAGAGCTGCGCCCAAGCCCTTAATTGATGTTTCGACGTGAAGGACAACTGGTTCATTTCTGTCAGAGTACGCCAGGGTCGTTGTGGTACTTATCCATGACTTCACCTTCTCAAAGGCTTTCGAATGTGATGGATTCCATGCAAAGTCAACGTTCTCTTTTAAGAGATTTCTTAAGGGGGCAGTGTGGTCAGCTAGATTGGTGATGAATGAGCTCATGTATATTGCCATCCCCAAAAAGGTGTGAAGTTCTTTCTTGTCTTTGGGTGGTTCTAACTTTTCTATGGCTCTGACTTTATCTGGGCTGGGCTTGACATCGTCTGGTGTGTAAAGCATACCAAAGAAATATCACTCCTTTGTTTTGATAACGCACTTCTCGTCATTGAGCTTGTTGCCAGCCTTTCTGGTACGTTCCATGGTTTCGTGTAGGTAGAAGTCATGCTCTTTGTCGTTCTTTCCATAGACTGTGACTTCATCTGCAATGCCAATGGCTCCCTGGCAATCACGATACGTCTCGTCAATCTTAAATTGGAAGATATCTTGACTCATTCGTTCGCCAAACGGCATCCTGAGGAAACAGTATCGTCCAAAATGGTGTATTAAAGATTGTCAGGTACGAGGATTCCTCACCTACTTTGACATTCCAATAGCCATTGCGAGCGTCGAGCTTGCTAAAAAGCTTCGCTCCTGCTAATTTGGCTGTGATTTCCTCTAGAGTGGATATGGAATGATGTTCTCTTTTGATCGCCTTATTCAGGTCTTTAGGATCCAGACATAACCGAAGTCGCCCATTTTCTTTTTCTCTAATAACCAGGGAGTTAACCCAATCTGTAGGTTGCGTTACTTTTGCAATGATATCTTGGCTTTCCATCTCACGTAATTCGGCTTGTAATTTGTCTTTCAATTCTATGGGCACTTTGCGGGGTGCATGGACCACCGGTGATACTTTAGGATCCAGTGTGATGTGATACGTATAGTTGTCAAAACATCCAACTGTGCCATTGAAACATTCTGGATAGATTTCCATCAGCTCTTGTTTTCTTGGAATTGATAGCCGCTCTTCCAGTGGTACATGACTTCCAAAGTGACTCTAGCTTTTCTTGCAAGTACCCGAATTTTGAGCTGGGGCATTGGAGCTGCTAGTTGGATCAGCCTGGTCTAATTGATTTGTTCTTAGTGTACAGTGTAGGGAGACTAGTTTTAGTGCAGTGCACGCTTTTAGACCGAGAATAGCTGGCCCCGAAGTGTCTGTGACGTAGAAAATGGAGTTGATCTTCTCTTTGTACTTGCAAGGGACGTTTATAGTGCCAAGCTGCTTGATTACAGAGCTACCATATGCTGAAAGGACGGCTTCATTCTTTTCCAGTGCTTCTGGTTTGGGGTTTCCTTCGTCGTCAAACTTCTCTCGGGCGATTATGCGAAGTAGCCTGATAGGCAAAACATTGCTCTGTGCACCTGTGTCTACCTTGTACTGGAGAATGGCATCTATACTTCTATCCTCTTGATGGCTTTCGCTACTTCCTGCCAGTGTCTTCAAATGTTTACTTGTCGCCTCGTTGCTTCATGCAGTCTCAATAGCGGCTGCAAGGGTCAATGATGTGTCTCGGCTTATGAGAGACTTCTGGACATCGGGATTTCTTGACCCCAAATGAGCTGATCCAAAACTCTGTCTTGGGCTTCGGCGTTGTCGCGAAATTGACATTTTGCTGCTAGATTTTTTAATCTTGAGATAAAATCATCCGCTGGCTCGCCTTGTTCTTGCATTCGCATTCCTTGTAGTGTGTATCTGTGAATTCGATGACTCGGCTTCGGCTCCAGTTGATTCTCGAACCGTTCGAAAATAATGGCAGGCTTTTTCCTGCCTTCCTCCTTTGTGAATGTCCAACTGTTGTATAAATCCAGGCCTTTTTCACCCGACCAGAGTAAAATATAGCTCACTTTTTCTTCGTCACTGGCGTCTTTGAGAACGCTTGAAAACACAAGCTGACATTTTTGTTTGAATCTTGCGAATGCAGTTATCGGATCAGGAACGTCCCAGTTCATCTGTGGCGACGCAAACGACGTTGCTGGTGCCATAATTCGCTTCTACTGGCCTCTCTCGATTTAACTTTAAAAATTATTCTTTAAAACGCTGCCACCATGTAGTATGTTATCCAAGACGTTTATTCTGCTTGTTGATACACACCGCGTGGATGTGTGTGCTTTCTAGATTTGCTTAATGTGCTAGCCTACTTAAATATGCGTACACAAAATATATATACCACAAGTGCTAATTATCACGTGCCAATATGTTAGAAGAGGTGATAAGATCGTGATAAAATACTAAAGGGTGATGCTAACGCTGTTGTAAAACAGGCATCATTTTGGCTCCAGCTTTTCATGCAACAGTGTGAGTTGCAAGCCGGAGATGTATTACCATCCGCACGCGCAACAAATTTTTATGTAGCAAAAAAGTAGAAACGACTTCTACTTTCTGAGCTAACCGCCTACCGGTTAGCTCAGTTGGTACAGCACCGGACTACCGTGGGGGAGAGTGCGGGTTCAAATCCCGGCCAGACCAACACTCAGGGTCGTAAAATAATTGAGGAGAAAGTGCTGCCTTTGTAGTGACATCTGCAAACGGTTAAACTTTCTAGTCTTCATGGATAAGGAGGATAAGCCGTAGGTCCCGTCTCACAACACTTGTTCCCAGTCTCTTGGACGTTAAACAACCCACACACTGTTCGAAAAGAGTAGGGGACGTAGTTCCCGGCCCGGTGTAGTGGTCTATCTCTACCTCTGGTTTCATCCGTCATTTCAAGCAAGGGTTGGGTGGGTGGGTGGGTGGACGAGATCGAATAGGGACTGATAGCGGCACCCAGAGGCGCCTTTTACATGCTGACGTCCGATCTCACCCAAAAGTAGAGTTATAAACCGCCATGAAACTATGTGATATGTGCGGTATATAAATACATTACCATTTCTGCAACATGAAAATCTGTTGCACGTTGAGGTGGTAATACGTGCAACAAACAATCCAAACTTGCAATGCAACATCGTTACGCGACAGGTCGAAGCCAAAATGTTGCCCGTTTTACTTGGCCTTTACATGGAACATGTGTGACCTTGTAATGCTCGGTACCTTAAGATGTTCAAGGACATCCTCCTATTCACCGTACTTCCGAGTTCTCTGCAGGTAAAACTATTTACAAGAAAGCAACTAATATTTGACAAAAAAAGAGGAGCCTAAGTATTCCTATTCATGCTTTATTTCAGTTTACTCCTCTTTCATTTTTAAGGTTTTCAGTTTATGCAAGCTGCTGACGGCTGCTTCCGTTCATCGATGCTCGACCGCCTATTAACCTCGTCTCCACCGATTAGGGTGTCGGTATGCCGCTATGTCGACCGCGTGTCGGCCTTTTCTCGGCTCGTAGTGGGATTTCTGCAATAGCTTTGTCATGTCATTTGGGGCTCCCGGAAAGTTCAGTTTAATGTGGAAGCTATCTCAAGTCAGATGTAAATATTTTGAAACTGGCTGAAATATGCAAGCTTGTCCCGCAGCCGAATCAATGTCCTATTTAATGACGTCATCTTGTTTGAATAAAGGCGTAGATTCAAAGCACTGGGCATAACTTATTTCCTCTTATTGAGCAAATGCATTCAATCGTCAGTTGACTTTTTATCATGGCGAGTTCTGGTCAAAAGATTTAAGAGTAGCCGCACTACGTATGCAGTAGACAGGGCTATCAGTTTTTGGAACGATCGAAGTTTTAAGTACCTCATTTGGTGCGTGTTCCCCAATCAGCTCGATTAATTAACTCAGTCAATTATGATTACGCGTGTATGTGTTTCGTCATCAACCTTAATGAACACGTTCGCGAGAGTTCTTGTGCGCGGTTTGTTACGTTGCGGGTATTGAATAAATTTAAGAGCTTTTATAGCGATGAAGAAGTTCCTGTTTGCCTGTGTTGGTGTTGGCTTAGCTTTTAGTGCTGGTTATCTGTTGTACGGAGCCAGGACCTGATACAACAAAAAAGAGGACGAAGACTGTCATGAGGGGGTAAGTGGGAGTCTCAATTTGAGCATATAATACTACTCTCCAGGTGTACAAAATTGTAGGACACCTCCACCAATAGCAACAACAGCAAGCTTTTTTTTTTGCATCACCTCATTACAGTGCGAAAAGGAAAGTCAAGATAAGGCTGCCAATTAAGACATTCTTAGCTAAGAGTACGCGGCCGCAAAAGTGCACGTGACGGCAAAACTGTTCCTTTTCATTCAAATAGGCGTTTTGGGCGGATTTTGATTCAGAATTACATTAAGTGCCGCGACGACCTCCACAGAAACTAACAGAAACGTTGATACCAAAATGCTTAAGGTCTGCGAAATCGTAAATCCTATGCAGTTCAAATCAAGTGTGAAAGTTGTCATTGCGCTCATTCCGAAAGCCGAATAATTCCCCCAAATAATCCGTCTTGCCGTATTTCGATCAGCTCAAACAGAACGATTCCTTCATTTTCTGAAGGAAATTTCCCTACTGCTCACAGGATGACCCTCAGGCATGTGCAGTCCCTCCGACATGCGTAGAAGTGACGGAAAGCAACAATGGGGGTGATGTCAGAAATGGAGCTGTGGACGCCGGAAAGAAGGACGACAACCCGAAAAACAAGTCAACCGACAAGAACAATTTGGAGGACTCAATCGTGGCTTTCTGCTTTAATTCTGAACTGAAAGTGAACCACGATACCATGTATCCCTTTCTGCTACTCTCAGCTGATCTACTCCTGTCACATATCAATTCAACCTTGAGACACTAACATATTTGAGGTATTTTTTTTTCAGTGGAGTGTTTTCTTCGCCTAGATTATTTACTGCGTTGTAAATCTTAGCCTTGATCCCATCTTGTAACAACAAAATTCACAAAATACGCTCAGTTTAAAATTTCTTTGGTGCTTTTCATTGTTATTGAAAAGGAAAAAACTGACGAAAAAAAGTTTAAAAGTTGCAAAAACCCGAAGATAATCACAAAAAAATAAAAAAAAATGGAAAAAGATCAACGCAAGGTATAAGAGAAAATGCGAAAAACAAAAACATTAAAGGGATGAAAATAGAGAAAACTTGAAAAAGAAAACTAAAAATAAAAAAAATAAAACAAAACAAGAAAAGAAGAAAATGAATGAAAATCATAAAAAAAAATAGAATAGAAAATATAAAAATTAAAACAGCTTACTGAATGAAAAAATACAAGATATGAATTACAAAAGCATATACAGGCAAAAACTAACGATAGACAAATCCGACGTTTCGGCGACATCTTGGCGCCATTGTCAAGGGAAACTAATTAAATATGCGATTTCAAGAG